GTTATTTAACTAAACAATAATTATGAATAGTTTTAGGTTTAGGTTAAAGAACAAATTAAAATAATGACAGAAAAAGGAACGAACGAAAACTAGGTTATTTTTGTATAAAAGTTAAAATAATATCAAAGTAAGTTTACGTATAACTAATATATATATATATATATAGTTTAAAATGAAATTAAAGAAGTTCTCAATCAAAAACATTTGAAGCACGCGAAGAATCAACTAAAAAACAAAAAATAAAGAGTTGTAAAAAGTTTTACAAATAAATTAATTTAATTAGATAAAATGCTTAAACAACTGATTTTTTTTCAAGTTATAAAGCATCAAATCATCTGATTAGGTTGGTATGTTGATATAATTAGTGTTATGCTTAGTTTTTTTAATGTCTAATTAAATTAAAATTGAGGTGACTTTTTTCTGTGAATGACTGAATCTTGTATGTAAAATTTCAATAGCCTTCATCCGCTTGTTTGAAATTGACTGGAAAAAGCGTTTTTATATTGTAAAGGTTATAAGTTTGTTGGTTTATTTTAGAATTTCACACAAAGCTATGCAAAGGATATCTGCTCATAGTTATCCCTAAATTTGAACTGTTGGACAAGAGGGATGGCGGCAGGTCAGCACCATCCACCGCTAACACTAAGTGTCCTTTATTAATGTCTATTAGCATAATTTTTGAATTTTTGTTTTATTCTCTAGCTTAAAAAAAAATATGATAAATAAGTTTACAGAAATTGTGATATTTTTCCAAGTTGTAGTTATATTAGGATACATTTTCGACAACATAAAATATATTATTTACATCACTAAACTGTTTGCTGTGGATTAAAGAAAGCATTAAAATTTAAAAGCTATTAAATAAGTTTAATACAAGTTTTTTGGCAAATAAAAATAACTCTCATATTTACATTAAAGTATTTTGAGAAAAAAAAACAGTAAAACAATTACACGTGCACCATGTACAGAAAATCACTTATAGATAATATAAACGCATTTAATTTATCTATTATTTTACTGCGGAAGCGACGACCTGTTTTGCATGTGTAAGCAAACTGTGCTTTGTAAAATGTCTTCTAAACGTAATCGGTGGCTGAGAGAGTTTGTAACCACTCTTTCTGAAAAAAAAAATCATCAAGCGAGATTTCTTAGGATGTCGAACCAAAATACACAATGTTTCCAAGTATGAAAACTTCAATATTTTCCAAGGAAGTTAAAAGTTCGCGTAGCACAATCAGGACTAACAGTTTTATTAGCAAAGTGAAGGCTATGTTTACAACAGAGAATCATCTGAACCAAAAATGCCAAAGCAATAAAGTTGGTTGTTATTCTGGGTACCGCTAACAAGTAAAGATTTGAAGCAGATGTTTGTTTGAAGTTAAGCACAAAGCTACACAATGGGCTATCTGTGCTCTGCCCACCACGGGTATCGAAACCCGGTTTCTAGCGTTGTAAGTCCGCAAACATACCGCTGTGCCACTGGGGGCTGAAGCACATGAAGGCTCACAAACCAAATGTTCACAAGCTTTCAATCCCCCCACCCAAATTAACGGTTGTTTTTGTGAAAAAATAACCCAAGAAACTGAAATAAAAGCAATCCCGACGTAGCTCCAGTGGACTTCTGTGTCATTGGTTTTCTTAGGCGTGCGCTGCTTGGAAAACCACACAAAAGGAGTTAGACAATACACAGCTGGTTTCCGAAGAGGTTTGATCTCGTGGAACATCACCACAGGGATATTGTTAAGAAAGAGGCAGAAAAAGCATGATCACCGAGGAAAATACAATATTTAGCACCAGTATATCAAATTTATTTATCGTTTCAGTATTTGACCGCAGATTTGACCAGAACGTTTCTTATTCAATGGATCAAAAATGGTCGCAGGTTTGACTAATGCGTTTCTTATTCAATGGACCATATATATGGTCGCTGGTTTGACTAATACGTTTCTTATTCAATGGATCAAAAATGGTCGCAGGTTTGACTAATACGCCTCTTATTCAATGGATCATATAGATGGTCGCAAGTTTGACTAATACGTTTCTTTTTCAATGGATCATATGTATATGGTCGCAGGTTTGAATAATACGTTTCTTATTCAATGGATCATATAGATGGTCGCAGATTTGAACAGAACAATTCTTATTCAGTGGATCATATATATATATATATATGTAGATACTTAACTATATGCCTTAAACTATACTATTGTACACAAGGAAATGTAAAAAAAAACAAAAAAAACCAGAAAACATCTTACTTTAAAAAAATACTTCTCATTCATTGTAAACAAATACTCCAGAATTTGAAATGAAGTAATAAAAACAAGATACAAAAACAAACATTTGTGGCTAACAGTGAATTTGCAATACTAGTTGCCATGACTTCCCCGAAAGGGGGCCAAGGGCTGCCTGTTTTAACCACTCGTACGAATATACAGTAATGTGTTGTTTGTCTGTCAGTCACTAGACACTAAAATAACGTCACACAAGGGACGATTAAAGTTGCAATTTTTACTATCGTGACGTCAGTAAAACGTGCGCTTGCCATGAATCATGAGAAGAATTAAGCACTTTGTAGGCTACAACACAGCATGACATATAAAGTTCAAAAACAAGAAATAAAAATATTTGTTACTCTTAATTTTTGTTTTATTTAGTCTTGAAACAGAACACTTTCGGAGACCCTGCACAGGTATATCTAATCTATGTCACGACGAGCGAGGTTTGTTTAGTTGTCTTTTTCCTTAAAAATATTTTTATGTTGATTTGTAAATATAAGTGTTGCGAGGTATACATAAATCCAACATGTGAATGTATTTCTTTATTCTTTGTACAGGTTATTTCTTTATTATTTTAAAAATTTGAAGGGATGATATATTAGAGAATTCAGTTGGACATTTTTGGTAGTTACTCAGTGTTGCTCTCTGTGATTTCGAACACGCTATGTAGCATATTGTGTGTATCATACACTGTCGTCCGAAAGCTCTTCTATTTTATCCATTCTTTTCTATCAGGTTTAGAATTAAAGGGTTAGTTGTGACTGTTATTGAATCTCCGTCTAACAAATTTAGATGACACTATATCTATCACAATTACTGATGACAAATGTTCGTGTTAAAAACTACTTAGGGACATTAACATTTCCATACATTCAGTTAAACAAACTGTCTTCTTTTAGTTATTACTTCTAGGTCTGCTTCTATGTATGTAGTTTTAAATCGGTTTATCCGTAGCTACATCTTCTTGTATCAACTTTTTAGTTTGGTTTACTTGAAGTTTCTCACGTGTCCTTTCATTTTGGCTAACAATTAAAGCTAATATTGAGGAATATTTAACGGTTTCTTGATTTATAAAAGCATATTATTTTTTTCAAAATATTTCTATATGGTCTCGTACAGTTTCATTTACCATCTAAACCCTGTAACAACATAGTACAAAATTTCCACTTTGGTGAAAGCAAACTCACCACCACCACAGGCGCCTTCCTCAGCTGGCTCGCTGTCATCACATATGTCCTTCGGATTGCCAGACATTTTGCTGACCTGAAGAGTAAGACAGGGCTCTTCTCCGTTACACGTATTCAGCTTGGCTTCTTGGTGGGAGGAATCTAAGTGCAGTATATTTAGACTTATTTCATTCGTTCAGTGTAAGCCTTACACCGTGTAAACAAAATAATAAACGCGGGATGGCTCTCACACGAAGTCGGATAACACGAAAAGCGGAACGGGAAAATACGGAACTCCTGAACGTATTGATCCACAGCGCACAAGTAACATAGGAATCGTTCACAGTCTGCTATACTGTGATACGACAAGAATTGCGGATTTCTTTTAGACGAAAGCGTCGGTTTCTTCAAAATTTCGGCAAATTTGTTTATCACATATTAAAAGTGGGAAAAAATATTCTATGAAATATCTTAAATATTAGTTCTTTATTTATATATATAGAAATATAATATTAGTTATATTCCGAAAGGAATGTAGGCTATGGAAAATTAATATTTAAACATATCAGAAGTATGGAGACAGAATTGCGAGTAAGTTATTGCAAATAAAATATATTTCAAAATAATCATGAAATTCCTTCTTTTGTTAAAGTGTACTTTCAATATCAATGTGCAGAAAACTGAAATATGTAGGTTTTCTAAACACTTTTATCGAATAGAACAAGAAAATGTCTTTCCTAGTGTATTTAATTATAACGTTTACTTTTATGTTGCGTGACTATATTGTGACAACAATATCATAAACGAAATGTCTTGTTTGCTACAGTACTTGAAGTTTTAATAAACTTTCTTCTCAGGAACTAGAGGCTCGAATGATGGTTTTCTAACAACCATCACATCAACCTTTTCTCGGGAACTAGAGACTCGAATGATGGTTTTCAAACAACCATCACATCAACCTTTTCTCGGGAACTAGAGACTCGAATGATGATTTTCAAACAACCATCACATCAACCTTTTCTCAGGAACGAGAGACTCGAATGATGGTTTTCAAACAACCATCACATCAACCTTTTCTCGGAAACTAGAGACTCGAAGGATGATTTTCAAACAACCATCACATGAACCTTTTCTCGGGAACTAGAGACTCGAAGGATGATTTTCAAACAACCATCACATCAACCTTTTCTTGGGAACTAGAGGCTCGAATGATGGTTTTCAAACAACCATCACATCAACCTTTTCTCGGGAACTGGAGGCTCGAATGATGATTTTCAAACAACCATCACGGAATTGTTAATAAAATTGTGGAATTATTATTAAACAAGTGGCTTGAAATAACAAAAGTCATTTGAACTTGTTTTTATGAACATGGATCAATTACATTTCAATCAAAAATTAGAAAGCATTTTTCACTGAGTCTTTATTAAATTAGAACATTCTACATCTCCAATACAAGTAAAAAAAAGTTTATGTAGCTTGATATCTTGTCTGTTTTGTTTTTTCAGGTCTAGGGAGTCTAATAATTACAGTTTATTGTTTATCATGACCTATTCTTCAGGTCGCTCGACTCGCAACTTACAGGTTGTGGTTTCGAGTTCCATCACCTAACATGCTCGCTCTTTCAACCATGAGGGCATTATAATGTGAAGGTCAATCTCACTATTCGATTAAAGTAACCCAAAAGTTGAGGGTGGGTGGTGTTGATTGGTTTGGTTTATTATAAATTTCGCGCAAAGCTTCACGAGGGCTCTCTGCGCTAACCGTCCCTAATTTAGCAGTGTAAGACTAGAGGGGAGGAGTTATCACCACCCACCGCCAACTCTTGGGCTACTCTTTTTACCAACGAATAGTGGGATTGACCGTTACATGATAACGTCCCCACGGCTGAAAGGGCGAGCATGTTTGGTGTGACGGGGATTTGAACCCACGACCAGTAGATTGCGAGTCGAGAGCCCTAACCACCTTGCCATGCCGGGCCCGGTGGTGTTGACTAGCTGTCTTCCCTATAATCTATAACTTCTAAATTAGGGACGGCTAGCGCAGGTACTCCTCAAGTAGGTTTACGCACAATTAGGTTTCGCCAGGTTAACTTAACTTCTAGTTGTTCTACCAGATGACGCCAGGTTAATCTGGTGAAACGTTGTAACCATAGGTATTATACTCTGTATATCCGACGATAAACAAGTGTTAAAAGTTATCTCTACACTCTTTCAATAAAATGTTTGGCGGTTTCAAAGCTTTCACACTTAGACATTGAATTCTTCGCTTATTCATCTTTCGGATTTGGACGTTTTTAAAAACAAACATATTAACTGAAATTATGTAAAAAAATATCATCAGTTCTCACCAACACAGTTAGGTCCATAAACATATTATAGAACTAAACTGTGCATACTCAACACAACTACCATTACAGCGGCTGAAGCCGAGATCAAACTGTGCTCACTGACGTCATGCTGACGTCACTTGTGGTAAAAAGCTCGCCGTTCACTATCCTTTTCTGCGTGATACTCGTGGGTTATTTAGAATTTTGTGGAGCCGTTTTGGTATACATTCAATGAAAGTGAGTTTGCCAAGAACATGTACCGTTATCAATATTATTTTTACAATTGGTATTATTTTTAGTATAAATATTATTTTCTGAAAATGATTTGTTAACATTTCTTCTCCATTGCGTTTGTTCCGGTTTATTCACAGGTTGACTTCCTTCTTGTAAACTAATTACCACTTTCGTAATCCACTCCGAATGGAAGTATTGTTAACAATGGTTCTTACAAAATAACAATTTATCATAGTTCGTATTACTACGCCCCCCAGAAGCACAGTGGCAAGTCTGCGGACTTATAACGCTAGAAACCGGGTTTCGATACCAGTGGAGGGCACAACATTGATAGCCCATTGTATAGCTCTGGACTTAACTACCAAAAAAACAACAAAAGCAAACAAACCCATATTACTACAATCTCTAGCAACAATATTGCCATCAGAAATGCAAGTAAAAGCCTGAATGGAACTTTGAACAATGAAAATTAACTAACAAAACTGTGAAAACGCAGATACAAATATGTGTAACACAAGCTCTTCGCTTCACAGTTTTTATTACAGTTTTCTGACAAAGAAATACACATCATACAACAAATTATATTGTACTTACTGTACAGGGAATACGCCATATTCCTAAACTTTACAGATCGATCTCTATAGTTGCCGTGGTGCTTTTGCCACCAATGACTTTAATGACTGTGCGTGTCCAAGGTCTTGGCAAAAGCTCAGAAGACCTGACGCTGTCTAGTTCTATAAAAGTTCTATGGTTAGGGCGATAGTGAAAAACAGAATAAACGTAACTTCGTAGATAATTTGGCATTTTTAATGACAATAACAGCATTAACTTTCCTCGTAATTTTTTTCTTTAAGGAAACTGGCTTATTTCAAAATTAGATATAAAATAAATACTAGTTCTGTTAGCTCTTCCAAACTTTGTCATAATACTCTTCCTAATGTCGTCCTTATTCCTATGGATAAGCAAAAATATGGTAATAGGATGTGATTACGTACTAACATTTTTCATGTCGTCCAGAATATGTTGTAATGTGAGATCACATTTTGTTTAAAAGCTATCCTAGTTATGAATGTTTAATTTATTTTAATATTTAATCTATTTAACCAGCTTGTGTTGGATAATCGTGCAAAGCTACTCGAGGGCTGTCCTCATTAGCCGTCCCTAATTCTGAATTTATAGGCTAGTCAATGTCACCCATCGCCAACTCTTGGGTTAATAATGGCTGGAGACGGCTTGAATGGGTAATGAAGAAAAACTTTAATATAAGTTGATGACAAAACCTTGTCGAAACGTTGTACACTTGCTGTTATGTTAAACTTATATTAAAGTTTTCCTTCATTACCCATTCAAGCCGTCTCCAGCCATTATTAGTCTCAAAGTGGGTTACTCTGATCGAATAGTTGGATTTGACCGTCACTCTTATAACACACCAACAGCGCATTTTTGTGACATCGAGGCGCGAGCACTGGAACTTCAGTTTCACAGTCCGGTACACCAACCATTAGGCCATATTCCGCTCGCACCACAATAGAACACCTACTATTATGCCACTTTGTATAAGTTTTGCTATTTCCTAGTGCGTTAGTTTATTTTATTTTTCTCGGAAATAAATAAAGACAAAATCCTTGCCCTAAGTTAAGTCAGAGGAAGTGGCGAAACAGTCAATAATGTGCCAACAAAATATTCTTGCATGTATTCAAAATATTAAAGTCGAAAAAAGACAATTTATATTATACACAGATATAATATATATATATATATATAAGAATTTTCAAGAAATATATCGAACGATTATAAAAAAAAAAACACAAAGACAGTTAAAAACCCATAACTTATCGTTTGTTCTGTGCATAACAAAAGGAGCAGTTGAGGAGAGATTAACCTCAAGTCAGTTTTTTCTGTTATCAGATTTTTATATGTCTGAGCTATTTTTTTATAATGGGTGTATTTTAATCAAATATTCTAAAAGAATTATATTATGAGTTGAAATATGGATTCATTGTAAACAATGCTCAATAAAACTTTTACATTTATTTGTGAATGTACGTATAGGATACAAAAGTAGGTTCTATGTTTAGTTCTAGATTATCTGACTGAGTTACAGCCTTTCCATGAGCAAGTCAAAAGAAATATATCAATATCCTTTCTAACTGATACCTAGGCAGTCAGTCGCCTTGTTACTAATTTCAACTGAATAAAGTGTAAGGACAGTAATTTGATGACGTAAGGAGTGTAGCATGAACCTTCATTTGAAACGCTAGACAGGAAAGACATGTCTAAATGGAAGAATAATTCGCTTCTGGAACCAGAAGAAAACACATTTGACTGTGGATCTTGCTCATTCAACCAGCCTATCATAAATCAGGATTCGACCTTAGTTTATTCTCTTTCTTCAAAACAACTCCCACATGGTTGGAATCGAAAAACAAAGAAAGGAGCGCGAGCCCTCGCAGTCATGCTTCTTTCATCACTACCTCATGCGACATCAATACATACATGATGTTATTGTTCATTAGACACTCGGCGAGCGTTTTAAAAATCTGTGAATTTAAGCATAGCGTTGACGAAAGCTGATTTTTTTTTTTACGTGATTGAAAAAACAAAACAAAAAAGCACGTCTTGCTTGTGAAATCTGATTTCGAATTAATTACTAATTTATACTAGAAAAATGTTGGACAGTATAATTGTGTGGTTCCTGAGTTTCCGGTTTGTTCGTCTCTAGTTTTGTATATTATTT